GGAGTTCAACGAATGTCTCAGGATTGGGTCTCCTTAACCTGGCTGCATGCCATCCCTATGGTCTGCCATTCCTGTGGTCTGAATGGCCAGGCCTATTCCTGCAGATGTACCACCTGGATTCCATAAGCTAAAGAGGGACAACCCAAGGAGTAGCTAGCAGGAAAGGAATGCAAGCTGACAGATATCAGTAATGAAATGTCCATGTCTCTCCCTCTATTTACCTGTTTCTGCCTCTTTCAATCAGAAGTCTATCAAAACTGGGTTCAGATGATATTACCTTCTGCAAAAATGCTTGCCAAATTCCATGGAATTGTTCACTTGAAAATGGTTAATGTAAAAAACAAACAAACAAATAAAAACCCAAAAAAACTCTCCTTAGAATCTCTTCTTTTGGTATAGAAGTCCTTTCTGATTCTCCCAGAAACTCTTATGTTTCCTTATATCATTGAATTTATTACACTTTCTGAAACTCTGTCCGTATGTTTGTCTTAAGCATAATAAATTCCCAAAAAGCATTTTATCCTTGCCATGTAGAAAAGTCTTTGGCACAAAATAGTAAAAATTTATGGAATTAGACTGTTGTTGTTGACAGAGACAATTCTTCTCTCCCAGGGTGTATCAATCAGTCCACCATAATATCAGTCACACTGAATTTATTCTGAAATAACAACGAAACAGTCTCTAGAAAACCTCCCATCTTTAATGTCTCTATCTTGTAAATAGAAATTTGAAAACTCAGCAACTGAGAAATGCATTTTTACCTAGTCAATAGAACTCAAACTCAGACAAGAATAGCAAAATAACAACTACTAAAAGTACTTTAAAATGACTCATTAGGAAGTGCAAGTCCCTCTATTCAACAGAAAACCTAGTAAAATAACTAATTCATCTCTAACTTCATTTATATTTTCAGTTCATCTTCTGACTTCACAAAAATGAAAGTTTTGTATTCTACTATGATCAATACCTCATGTAAAAATAGGATACAGCACAGCAATGCATGACTTTTCAGATGATGTTATTTTTAATATTGCTGAAATTTACCACTATTTAAAATACACTGACTGCATTAGTAGATTCTGGAAACTACTCCTCTCTATCTTGCAAATTTATAAATGCTCTGAGCCTAATGCTCATGTGGCTCCTTCTCAGCTTCCAATAAAAATGAGGTGTATTCCACAATAATCCAGTTCTAACATGTCTGGTTTCAGAATCATCCACTTCAAGTTGAACTCCTGTGATCAAGTCCTTCAAAGCTGTATTGAATTCCACATTTGGGTCCCACTGGTTCAGGAGAGACTAATATGAAGGCTCTAAAACGGCGGTCTCCAAACTTTTTGGCACCAGGGACCAGTTTTACGGATGACAATTTTTCCACAGATGGGAGCGGGGGCATGGTTTTGGGATAAAACTGTTCCACCTCAGATCATCAGGCATTAGAATCTCATAAGGAGTGCACAGCCTAGATCCCTCGCATGCACAATTCACAAAAGGGTTCTCACTCCTATGAGAATCTAATGCCTTCAGTGATCTGATAGGAGGTGGAGCTCAGGCAGCAATGCTCACTGGCCGGCCTCTCACCTCCTGCTAGGCAGACTTGTTCCGAACAGGCCACAGACTGATACTGGTCCATGGTCTGGGTACTGGGGACCCCTGCTCTAGGGTCCAGGGAAACGTGAACTAATATTAACAAAGGGAAGGTAAACTAATATAAGCTGTGTGAGGCATAGTGCTGGGTATCTTACACGCAGGTGGGGCCCCACAATATGCAATCGCTCATTCAACATGGTTTCTTCCTTCAGTTTCCATCGGCAGTTGGGCTTCATACCAGAGGGACAATGGTCTGTGAGGACTTCCCAAGAGATGGCACAAGTAGATCGAGAACCACATTTGCTGTTCCTTATGCGAAATTAGGCACATTTCAAGAATAGTTTTGCCTACATATCTTTCCCATCTTCTACCTGACTGCAGATAAGGTACATCTAATACTGCTTGAGATAAGATGTGACTGCACTGCTCAGTGCCTCAGTCAGCTATCACAAAAACTCTGAGAGGGTTAAATTATTACCAATTTATAGATGAGAAAACAGAGCCTCAAAGGGGTTAAGTAATTTTTCCATGATAATGTGCTCAAACACTACAGAAAGTCTCCTTCTCCTTACGAAGTTTCTAAGGCCTATCTTCAGGGTATGTGTACATAGCAAAGAAGTTGTACTTTGCATTGTGTTAAAGAAGCAATCATCTCCAACCAATGAACCTTTTAGACATTACAATAGCAATTTAGATGAGCAGTTTATGTTATTAAGAAGTTCATATCACAAAATATGCCACCTCTTATTTAAGAGTTTAGACGAGGCGTCCCCAAACTGCGGCCCCCTGAGGCCATTTATCCGGCCCCCCACCACACTTCCGGAAGGGGCACCTCTTTCACTGGTGGTCAGTGAGAGGAGCACAGTATGTGGTGGCCCTCCAACAGTCTGAGGGACAGTGAACTGGTCCCCTGTGTAAAAAGTTTGGGGACGCCTGGTTTAGACCATACGTAACCCACATTTAGAGAGTAAAACCCTGGTGTTCACTGTGCTTTTTCCCAGTAACATCCTTCAAATATTATCATAACCAAGAGACAACTTAAGAAATTTGGCCTAACTATGAAAAAGATACACAATCCTAAACTTACTTTCACTTGGATTTTTAAAATAAAATAAAAATTACAGATGCTATCTCAAGATATGCTCTCTCAATACTTTTCCAAGTATAGCATACCTAACACAGAACATAGTTTACATTTGTCCATGGTGGAGCAATTAGATCAAGTTCAGGGGATAATTTATTTTCTAAAAATTAAATGGATTTTAATTCTATTTATGTGATGCATCACATCTATTGACTTGTGTACGCTAAACCATCCCTGCATCCTTGGGATGAAACCCATTTGATCATGATGTATTACCTTCTGAGGTGCTATTGGCCCAAAAACTGTCAGAATAAAACATAATAATACAGAGAGAAAAAATAAAAAATTACACAGAATATTTCTGCTTCAGGAAGCTACTGACTCATTTTTTATCTTTTAAGATAAAAATATTTTTGTATACCAAAAATATTTACCTTAAAAGTTACATTATAATTTAGCCAAACTTGATAGTCATGGGTTTCATAAGCTGCAACAATGGATTACTACATTTGATTAATATGATGACTGAAAAGTAAAAGAACATTTGGTATCTTAATATCAATTTAAATTGCACCCAATCATGATGGCAAAATTGCCCACAAAGCTGTTCTAGCTGTTTCTTACACCTCTCCTCTTCTACAGCACATTCAGCCAGCACAGGAGAGGATGGCCCAGCACAGCTGTGCCCACACACTAACTCAGACAAGATGAGGTTATTTTGACTTAAAGGGTTTGTAATAAGCTTAATGTATTTAAATAATCTTCACAGAGACTTTAATTTTTCTCCATTTGCTTCTTTAGTTTAAAAAACACTTGTTTTATAAGGAGCTGGGTTTTTTTTTTTCTTAGCTTCTCTGTATTTTAACGTCCTGCTAGCCTGACCTGGTCTCTGCCTGATATCCTGATTTCTGAGTCATCTCCAACTTCCGCAGGAAGAAGCAGGGACCTTTAGCCCTGTCAGAGGTTTCTGGTCTCTTACTAACCCTCTTTGAGGACCCTGACTTAAGAAAAAAAAAATGCTTAAAAATAAAACACTGAAGTATTCATTGACAACCTCAATTTCATTGTGACAGCCATTCTCTGACATCATGAAAGGGGCATGCCAGGGAGGCCATCCACCAATTGATTTTTGAAATTCCTAGAAGCCATAGAAAAGGACTCACCTCTGCTGTAGGAGGTAAAGAGTACTTCATAACGTATTTATTAACCTAGACACTTTTAGCTAAAAAAAAAAAACCACACAGCCTTTTAGTATATTCCTAGAACCTTCCTCATCCCCCTTTCATTCCTTAGCTTATTCCCTCTTTCTTTCTCATTTGCACAGAATCTCAGGGTCAGAAGAAACCTTGCAGGTTAAATAATTCCACTCTTCTGGTTATACATTCTCCTCCCTTTCTATTTCTCTGCATCTCTATGCCCCAGCTTGCTTCCCCTCTCATCTCTGCAACTGTTCGTCCTCCTCTCACTTGTTCTGAAATTGCTGCTGCCTCCAGGGTAGACACTCCTGGATATACACAGTAGAACCAAGATAAGCCTGACATGAATGGTTTTGCCTGGGTCATTAACTTGGGTCCAGGACTGAACTACCCAAAAAGAACTACCTAACCCTGTAGTCCTCCTGTCTTCCTACAGGAAGGTAAGACTAGGCAACCAGTTATTTGTTGAGCTAATGAACAAATGATTGCTTCTCCAAGTGAATAGTGTATCATTTTCTGTTAAAGTAAAAACACACCCCTAGGAGAATTATGGGAGGAGCTTCACCGGTCACAGATAATCTTATTACAAACTAATTTAAGGATATGACTCCTTCCTAACAGAACCAGTCATAATAAAAAATGGGCATTTGTAATAATATTGAGGAGGAGGAAGAGGTAATTTTGGCACCTGGGATATTTTGTATTGGGAAATATTGGAGGTGGAGGTGGGGGTTGGGAAATCTGAACAGCCAGAGGCAACCTAGAGACACCACCGGTACCTAAAGACAGGTGTGAGGAGGCACCAGGAGGTGGGAATGGCACACAAAAATGAAATACAGCAATAAAATTCAACACGAATACTACTATTAAATGTAGGTCTATGTAGCTATAGTCATAACACCAATTCATATGTGCTGAATTGGGAAATCTTGCGTTAAGTAGTTGATAAATAGGTAATAACTAAAGTTAACAGTGAAGGTAGGACCATCACCATTCCAGTATTTTAATTCTCACAACAAGCAAGAAGAAAAAATGCTATCCCATAAGACAGACTGGGCTTGACACTTGGTTGCTCTGAGAACAAAGGCCCAAACAAAAAGTTCATATTTTACTGGTGTCAAAGTACTCACCGCTTCTTTAAAACTGGCTCACTTAAATATATCTGCCTCATCCCTTTGTGATATCATTTGTACAATTCAGTTTTGCTTTGGCTTCTGGTTTTGCAAATTGTTAGTTCCTGCAGGTAATGACAAGCAGAGGGATTAAAGAAAGTTCAGGATAATGAACAAACAAAAAGCATGACATAAATCAGGCACATACTGATGTTTACTTAAGGCAGATATGTTAGAGAATCGACTGTTGTTTTCCATTCTAGTCCTGGAGTATTTTGAGAAATAAAGTATCTTTCTTTCTTCTTTTTTTTAAGAGGGAATTTAGCTTTTATTACCCAGGCTAGAGTGCAGCAGCATGATCTCGGCTCACTGCAGCCTCCACCTCCCGTATTCGAGTGATTTTCCTGCTTCAGCCTCCAGAGGAGCTGGGATTATAGGTGTGCTGTCACCATGCCCAGCTAATTTTTGTATTTTTAGTAGAGACAGAATTTTGCCATGTTGGTCAGGCTGGTCTCAAACAACTAAGCTCAAGTGATCTGCCCACCTCGGCCTCCCAAAGTGCTGGGAGTACAGACATGAGCCACCACGCCTGGCTGAGAAATCACAAAGTATCTTTCTAAGTGTGCTAATGCTACTTGGGGAAAATACAAATAATTACAGATGGATCCTAGATAAGGAGACATTCTCTGTTACTCCCAAAGAAATTCCATAACCTTTGAAGATTCCAAGGAGATTTTCCATCCCTCCAAAATCAAATGAGATGCAAAAGGCAGGTATACATAAGAATCCACGTACACATTGAATCAGAAGGAACGACTGTGACAAAAATAGGAAGCCACATTACAGACTCAACAGCAGTCTGGGCTAAAATCCTATTTCTGCCTACATTTACTTTGAGAGGAATCCTTTGCTGCCCTTTATATAAATTCAAATGATTTAAAAACATAGTTAGATATGTATAGTGCTATACAATTTACAAAGTACTTATGCATTCATTATCTCCTTTCACTTTTATAATTTTTTTTGTCTCTCTAGTTCCCAAATAAGAAAAGTGGTACCCAGAGGACTTGTGTAGCCAGTACAAGAACACATAGTAATGGTAACTGGTTTCAAAGCTAGGACTCTAACCAGGTTTTTTGCTTTTGTTTTTGACACAGGGTCTCACTCTGTCACTCAGGCTAGAGTGCAGTGGCACCATCTTGACTTACTGCAGCCTTGACCTCCTGGGCACAAGCGATCCTCCCACCTCAGCCTTCCAAGTAGCTGGGGCCACAGGTACACACCACCATACCTAGCTAATTTTCGTTATTTTTTGTAGAGATGGAGTTTTGCCATGTTGCCCAAAAGTCTGGTCTCAAACCCCTGGGCTCAAGCAATCCACCTGCTTCAGCCTCCCAAAGTGCTGGGATTACAAGTGTGAGCCACAGCGCCTGGCCTCAACCAGGTTTTCTGACCCCTAGCCCAATATACTGTTACACCAGCACTGTTTCCTTATTTTCAAAACTGAGCTAATTATACCTTGGACATGAATACTTTTAAGACATTCTAAACATACAAAATAGCTAGAAAAATATCAAGGTGATTCTTGCATTTTTATCCTTTCTAAGAGCTTAAGTGTCAAATGACATCTTCCTGTCTATTGGTATCTCAAGATAGTAAACTATAAAAAATAAATTGGAAACAAATTCCGAACCTGTTAATATCCCAAAGCTTTCATGAGTAAAAAGACGTTAGGATTAAGGAGAGAAAATACAGAGGAAAAGTGCTATCATTAAAACATCACCTTAGCTGTGTCTTAATAATCACACAAAGACAACTGTCATCATTACATGTGTCCTCACCCATCTGTGTTCTCAACCCTTGCTTTTTTGCCTTGTAGCAAACTTTGCTAGTTTCACAGTACTGTACAATACTTCTTGGTATTATGTGAAGTACTCTATTTGGACATGTTGACTTCACTAATTAGTCTATAAATACTTGACTTTTACCCACTGCTTTGGTAAGTGAGATAATTGCTGAGGAAAGGCCAAAGCATTTATGGTCAATCAGATGAGGAAAAGGGGAATATGGTCTTTCAGCTGAGTAAAATGTAAAACATTATGTGGCAAGGCAGAAGCTATTAGCAGGATCAATAGCTCTCCTAGTACCTTAATAAATCATTACATCAAAGCTCTGACAGAGGACGGACAAAACCTCAGTCTACCTACATGGAAGCTTCCAAATTGGAAAGTAAATTCCATTTAAATTACAAAGACCCAATTTGTGTACAATGGAAATGACAAGCTACAAAACCAGTCTCCAAATCCTGGATGTGTTAAGAGTTTTGAATCATTAGTGCAGGGAGAAAAGCAGAAAGACAAAGAACACTGCTACTCTCTGGGCTGCACATTCGTAATTCGCAAGTGGTAAATATGTATGAATCTGCTCCACTGCAGCTAGGGATGACATACTGCTTTTTAGAGATAGCACAGGGCAGAAAAATCAAAGTAGAGGAAGGTTTGGCCATTATAACTTACCTCCTACCACATTTAACAGTTCTCAATCTTCTCAAATCTCCCCTTACTTAAATTGCTCTCCTTTGGGATGGCTTTCTAAAATGAAAAGAACTTTGATACCAAAGAATGTTCAATGTACAGCAAAAAGCATCCCATGGTGAGCTCTCTCTGCAACATGGGGCGTAAATAATTGTATTTTTTCTAAATCTTTAACAGCTCCCACTCTCTTTGATGCTTCCAGGAAAATAAGCAAGCAATTAAAAGAAGTTACGAGGCTAACTTTTCCAGATTTTTTTTTAACTCTACAAGTAATTATTTCTCTGTTCTAATATGTAGCAAAAGACAAAAGAAATATTTGCAGAGATTAATATTATAGAACATTAGGCTTTCCTTTAAGGATACTGTATTTCCTCACTTATAGAGATCATATTGAATATAGACACTACTTTGACTCCACAGCAGCTTTTGCTTTGTGGTCATACTGTTTAACTAAAAAGTTTTTTTCTTACAAGTTCAAATTACTTTACTGTAGATCTCTCAAACCTCATAGTAAGTTGAAACTGAGAACTAAGAGGTCACACTGGGAAATTTATATAGATAGGTCATAGCTGGCAAATCAGCAACAAAAGAAGGCAGGGATTCCCAACATCTTGAAACATTCATTCATGATTAATTATTTCTTTCATTTCACAAATATCATTAGACACTTGAGAATCACGCTTGGGCATGAAGTTCTCAGAAGGTTCTATTCTCAAAAGAGTCTGAAAATCTAGGTGAGTACATAAGTCACCCAATACTTAAAAAGTTAGATAATAGCTGGGTGTGGTGGCTCATGCCTGTAATCCCAGCACTTTGCGGGGCCGAGGTGGGTAGATCACAAGGTCAGGAGTTCTAGACCAGCCTGGCCAAGATGGTGAAACATCATCTCCACTAAAAAAACACAAAAAAATAGCTGGACGCGCTGGCACGTACCTGTAATCCCAGCTACCTATGCAGGAGGCTGAGGCAAAGAACTGCTTAAACCCGGGAGGCACAGGTTGCAGTCAGCTGAGAAGGTGCCACTGCACTCCAGACGGGGCAACAGAGTGCAACTCAGTCTCAAAGAAAAAAAAAGTTAACATTGGAAGATATAAATTACATAAAAGTTGATTGCCACAAGTGCCATAAATGTTGAGGTGCCAAAGTAGGGCTACAGTAAGCTCTTAAAGAGAAATCTCTATTGGCAGGGATTACCAGGGAAGGAAGTAGGGGAGAGAGTAAAAGACCTGAGCTATACAGAATTTGAATATGTGAAAAAGAAAAGGGCACATATCTCAATCAGTAGAAAAAGCCTGGACAAGTCAGTGCAAGTACACAGTCCAGGGTGAAGCAGGAGAGCGTTCACAGTGCGGATCAGTGGGTCAGGATAGACAAGTCTCACCCGACAACCAGAAAAGACAGTGGCTGGACTGATATCTTAAGGTAGGAAAGTTTTTACTTCAGATGGGAGAAAAATGGAGAGTCAGGAGAATTCTGATACCATGTCCAAGTCCAAGATCATTTGGGGAGTCAAAGTTTTACAGAAAGAAATATCCTCTCTATAAGAAGCAGATTTCATTTATGGCCAGAAGGTGGTAGGGGTTTCTATAAAGCAGTCTGAGGCTATCAGGAAGCCTGTTTCTTACAGAAAAGGGGTTTCAGCAGGGACAAGATACAATTTCAGGAAAGGGGCACTAAAAGATGGTTCTTTTAGCAGAATCTTCCTGACAGAAACAGGGATGAGTGCCTAAGGGAGGAGCTCCTGCCTGGGAGAGGCAAGAAAGGCAGAAATGAGAAGCAGAATGGCTTTGACTGATCTTCCCGTTCTAAGGGGAATCTTGTGTCTTGCTGGTTCAGTAGCCTCATTCTGGGCTGGAAATAGCACCCCACTCTCACCTCACCCTTCACTGACAAGGGTAATATCCTAAGATGCCTTACAGTCAACCCAGCCAGATTCCAACAGCATAAGAAGTTTAGCTGAAAAGAGGAGGTTCATTTTGTGTGGTGTATACCCATAGTTACAGCTACTCAGGAGGCTGAGGCAGGAGGATCCTTTGAGCCCAGGCATTCAAGGTTGCAATGAACTATGATCATGCCACTGCTCTTCAGACTGGGTGACACAGGGAGATCTTGTCTCTAACAGAAGCTTTAAATATTTTTTAAAATTCATTTTGTGGTTGTAAGTACAAAAAAAAAACCAATAATGATGAGAAAAAAAGATATAGGAAGATTGTTGGTGAGGAGATCATAGCTGATAGGGTCTGTACTACCTACTACCACCCACACTATCTTCTGTCTTATGAAGTTAAAGCAAATCTAGGCCCAGTGTCCCACTGAGTGAAATCACAAGAATTAGAGGGGTCCCATCCATGAGCACTGCACCATGAATATATGCTACTTGGAAGGCTGCTTCTGTGGTCAGTCTGAGAGCTGGGGAACCATCCTGGTGCTGAGCTGTCAAGAAGGCAGTGTCTGCTGATTCTGGTACCACTGGGGAGAACAGGATACCTCTTTACCAGGCAACTGGCTGCTGGTCAGCAGCTGCCCCTTCTGCTCCCCAATAAGCACCTTTCTGATTACAGTCAGTTTTTCAGCAGAAAGGCCATCAGCTG